TGCCATATGATTCAAAGGAGAAACCCAGGGCTCTAGACAATAAGATTTATTCTGTTGGAATAATTGAAATGACATGGTTATTTCAGAGTATAGTTAATACATTTTTTTTCTTTCAAATTCAAATTTTCCAATTAAAATTTATGCTTTGCTTTCTTTTACATGGGTTTTAACCTACTGCCAATCTTCAAATTGATAATCTATCAATTTGAGAGCTCTTTTTCTGTTTCCTCTTACTTCTTTCCATACTTAAAAATCAGTGGCTAATCTTCATACATTGCTTTTAATTATGTTTGTGCTCCAACTGATGTCAGTTATGCTCACAAGAAAGAGGGGGGAGTAATTAACAGTAATCAACATTTATGTTATAGTTTCTAGACTGAGTTATGGATTTAAGATATATGAATCACCTCACCCCTAATCCAATTTGAAAAGTTAAATGGGTTTGCAATACCAAACCAGTTTAAATTCAAAATAGTATTCCCACATGAAACATTAAAATGATTCAATTTGGGATGTTGATTTTATTTGGAAAATGGTACCCAAATTCCATCTCTTAAATTTGAATCATACTGACAAGTCGATTAGATGTAACTATGTGATGCAGTGACTCAATGCAATAGACTTCAAAGTGTGCCCCTGATTTGAAAGTTGTGGATGGAATAAGTAGTGCCAAACTTTACAATTAATCATAATTGCATCAATATTCATCCATACAGCTTAAGAGGTATTAGTCACAGTCCTGAAAGTCAAATTTCCAAAGAAAATTGAAAATGTTGCAAGTTCAGAGGGACTTCCTATCTGGTTTCCGGTGCCGCCAGACGGTCCTCTGCGACCGCCGCCCCGTTGCCTGTAAAAGAGCCGCCTTTACATCTGAAAGGCGGCTCGAAAAACTCCATTTCCTGATGGAAAGGTGAGTCTGAGCGGGTGGGGGTGGGTAGAGCCCTCTGCGAAGTCCCCAGAGTCTTTTTAAACTCTTGGGGACGAGCAGGTTGGCGCTCCCCCTTTTTCCCTCGCCGCCGCTCCAGGCATCGGGTGCACTATGCACTTTTGCATAGCCAGGCGCTGGAACCGGACTAATCAATGAACTTAACAGATGGATCTACTAAAAAAAAATATGAGATTTGGATTTGGATTTGGGACCCTAAACCGCAAGTATTCTTAATGAATTTACAAGCATTTTAAAGTGAAGAGAAGGAAAAAAAAAAAGTTTTAAAATGGCCGCGGAGGCTTGGGAAGTAGAAGAAAGAAGAGTCTTTTTATAACAGATACAAAGTTGCGGAATATACAGCGCTGGCTACAATTTGAAACAACAATAGTTATTTTAGGTTCCTCTCTTCCTGGTGATTACTTGATCTTGTTTGGGGGGTAAAAGAGAAAAGTCTGCTGGAAGGATGGCGTTAATAAAAGCTGACAGACAAGAAAGGGGGGGGTGCTCCCCCACTCTCTGAGCCTACAGACTCTGCAGAATGGTTGTAATTTAAAAGAATTTATTCAGGAGGAAATGGCAAAATATTATGAAACTGTGAATCAGAAATTTGAAAATTTAAGGCAGGAAATTAAAGAAATGATACAACTAAAGTATGATAATTTGCAACAAAAGATTGTAACAGTGACTAATGGTTTTTCAGAAATTGCGATAAAGTTGGATACAAATATTAAATTGCTAGAGTCTAAAATGGAGAAAATTGATAACTTGGACAATAAAATATTAAGAATTGAAAAGGACTTAGCAAATATTCGAGATAATAGCTTAGAAGTAAAGTCTAAAGAAGAAGCTGGTCACGAGATTTATAATCTAGAAGATATAAAGCAAGGAATTGAAAGAGAGGCTGTAATGTTGCAATACAGGATCACAGAATTTGCGATCAGAATTAGAGGCTTACAGGAAAATAATAGTGATGACTTAAGAAAAACATCTGCTCAAGTTTTGGCTGGGATCTTAAAGGTTCATCACGGGGACGTAATCAGTAAAATTGATAAGGCTTACAGAGTGGATTCCTGGATTGCCAAGCAAAGGCAATTGCCTAGAGATGTGGTAATTTACTTTACAGAAAAAGAGATAAGAAATGATATTCTGCAAAAATCCTTTAACTCTACTTTACAACTGAATGGGAGAAAAATTTGGATATATAAGGAATTGCCGCCTAAGATCTTAAGAGATAGAAAGAAATTTGGGCCCTTGGTGACTGAGTTAAGAAGACAGAATATCTTATACAGGTGGGATGTCCCAGTGGGTATAATATTGAGATATCAAGGAGTAAGATATCAGTTAAATACTCTTGAAAAAGCGGAAGAATTCTATTATAAGGTACTTAAAAAGCAAAATCAACAAGAGATAGAAACCCAAGAAAAGCAGAAGGAGATGGAAATAACGAAGAAACAACAAATTAAAGAGGTCTCCATAGATGAGCCGCTTTTGGATCCTCTTTCAGAGGCCTCAGCTGGATTATCTAATATAAGAGAGGCGGTTCCGGACCCTAATGCAATGATTTGTCAAGCCACAAACGAGCATGTAAGTCAATCAGCTGATATACAATTTACAGAACCAGAAAGATCTCAGCCACAGATGCAAACCCAACAGGATCAAGCTACTCTTCAGCAAAACCAAATAGTTGATACACAATCTACAGAAAGGAGTTTAGGATGGAGATCCAACCCACAAGAAGTTAAGAAAAGAAGAAGTAGGTCTCACAAACATAAAAACTTTTAAATTAAACAACAGTGTATTGCCAGTTACTTATGAGAGGACTAAATATATAAAAAGATAATGGGCAAAATATTGGCTTATTTTATCCTGAGGAGAGTGGCAGATCTCTGCAGTGCTGAATTATTGGGTGTGAAAAAGGCCTTAAACCAAATGGTTGGAAATATCTTGTTTGTTTTTTGGAGTTCCGGATAAATACGTGTATGCTGAGCTATATGGCAAGAGACTTATTGGATTGGGGCACGCAGAAGATCTGGTTGTTACCCTATTATGATGGTTGGAACCAATTATCTGGATCAAAGACACCTCCATAAACATTATATGGAATATAATTATAAAGTCACTCGGGTGGTTGTTGGGGTTTTTTCTTTTCCAATATGAAGATATTTGTTACTGATGGGGGCAGATGGTAACTGAAGATATCGAAAATACTGTTGGAATAAGGATGCGATGTTACCCTAACATGGGTGGAGTTCATCATCCAGTTGAAAGATATTCCAGAAGATGCTATATGGATCATAAGTTTAAAGTTTTTTGTTTTTTTTTTAGGATCTTATTTACATAAGGGAATATTTTTCTAGGGGATTGGGTAGAAGAATAAAGATATTAAGAATAATTATGGTAATTCTGTAGGAAAGTGGGTGGAGAAAGGTTAGGTTATGGATTGTCTATTTTAAAGAAATGTTTAGATGTGAATATTTGTAATGAAGGGGGAAACGAAATGGCTACTGGAACTGAATAAGTGTTAAATTAGGACTTTTTGAATACTTAGAATAGAAGTATGTTTTGAAATGTTATATTTTCTGAGGGGTAGTAAAAGGGTAGACTACGAGTAGAAATTGTTAAATTGGGAGATATAATAATATTATTATTTTAAATCAGGAGTTATTAGATAATGTTATAATAGAATGTCACTTTGAAATGCTTATTATAGCATAGTATACGGGGGGTATGATAATTTTATTAAAATGAAAGGGTCAGTATATGGAGATTGAGTATGTGGATAGTAAAGTATGATATAATCTGTTATGAACTTGGGTTTTACTATGAGGAAGTCAAGGGGAGGGGGGTGGGGGGGAGGAGGGGGGGGGAAGGGGGAAAAATCTGTATTTGAAAAACTTTTTCAATAAAAAAAAAAAAGAAAATGTTGCAAGTTCAGAGAGACAAAATAAATTTTGGAAGCCTGTGAACATGTGAAACTTTTTTTTTTTCAGAATTTAATCTTGGCCATCATGTTGTTTATTGTAATGCTAGACCAGAGATGATCTGATGTAAATCATGACACTTCATTCATTCACTGGAGGTATATGAACACATCAGATGTCAGTTTATTCATGAGAGGGCAAGATGAATATGAATTGCATTTTTCATACTGTTTATTGGGTACAAGATGGCAGGTCAGTTGCAGTACAAAGTAGTCTTTTATCTATTTAAAGTAGAATTCATTAGTGTGAATTCTAAAGTAGACCAGTTTATTGTTGGTTGTAGACTTTATATAAAATCTTAGTTATATTTATAATGAAAGACTCACTTCATTGCTAATGACATCTTATCATGCCTTACAGTAATGAGGTCAAAACAAAGCAGATTTGTTTTATTATAATCTTATAGATACCTAAGACTAAGCCCCACTAAATACAATTATAGGTATGTTTAGGATGGACATACATATAGATAAAAATATGCCATTTTATGTACTGTTATGTAAATTACAGAGAAAGAGTAAAAATCCATGAATTTTAAGGAAATTATTTTTTTTTCATTGATTTATATGCCGCCCTTCTCCAGAGACTCAGGGCGCCTTATAATGCATTAAGCAGAAATTAAATTAATTTTAAGGGAAATTTAAGAGAAATTAAATTAATTTTAAGGAATTATATATCCCTTATAAAATTAAATTAAAGGAATGAGATAAAGCAAAAAAAGAAATATATGTAGTGTAGTTGCCATACACTATATATTTCTATATCTTTCAGTCCTTTGTAAACCATACTTGCTTCCAATAGTCTATTTACTTCATACATTGCCTCTTGTCTTTGAAACTTCTCAAATACTTTTGAGATTTCATGAATGAACAATTATGAATCTCTCAATTTTCCCCTTTTTATCTTCTATCCACCTATCCTTTATATATTTGTTCTGCAGCTCAATCCACATTCATTCTCTCTGCAGAACAAAACTGTATCAACTAGATCTCTTTTATATTAGTCACTTATTTTTATGTTCAGTCATCTTAGTATCCAGTCCATATACAATCCTTGTTTTATCACACACATTTAAGTACCCTATTGCCTACTTGGTGTTGTTTCTCCATCTTCTGTAAACATTCTACAGAGTTATTTAAATTCATCTACTTGCTTTCCTTGTTCTCCATTTATGTTTGGCATCAAATCATTCACTCCATTTGCCTGTCAGTCACAAACCACTTGGTCTTTGTTATTTGAATATTCAGATCCATACTCTGTTACATCACATAATCAAACATTCAGTTGCTGGAATTCAGTCTTATCTGCATACACATGGATATGTATATTCATGCCCCAACCATTTATTGTGACCAAACATTACACACACACACACACACACACACACACACACACACACTAGTCAAAACATTGAATAATTCAAATCTATTTATTTTATCATGCTGTTTTGCAATAAATATTCCTTCTCACTGTTCATACATTTCTCGGTGACCTGCTGAAGAGCAAAAACCTGGTCTACAAACTCCATACCAAACATAAAGCACTTGCTATATTTTACTCACTGTCACTTCATGAGTGAAGTGTTGTAGTTGTAGTTGTTGCATTCACTCTTGCTACCATTCCCTTTATATAGAGCAGGTGTGTAAAACTCAATTTCATTGAGGGCCACATCAGGGTTGTGTTTGACCTTGGGGGGGGCAGGGGGGGCCTGGCCAGGGTGGGTATGGCCGGCTCCAAATAATTCAGGTCGTGGGCACCTGTGGTGGCCCAAGCGGTCTGCCAGCAAAAACGGGCACCCAAGCTCCATTTTCGGCTGCCTGCAACCATCTGCCAGCGAAAACGGAGCTTGGGAGCGTTGCCTATGGCCCTTGCGAGTTCAGTTTTTGGCTGCAATGGCCTTCTGCAACCCTTGCCAGCGAAAACGGAGCTTTGGAGGACCGCATGCAGCCCTCCCGAGCTCTGTTTTTGCTGACAGAGGCACTGCAGGCTGGTCCTTTTTTGTTTCCAGGGCAGCCCTGTGGACCAGATCTTAACTCCCCACAGGCCGGACCTGGGCCCCAGGCTTGAGTTTGACACCCCTGATATAGCGGAACAATAACAGATGCATACTTTGCATTTACATTAAAGAATTTGTACAAATGCTCCATCAGTCAATTGTATTTCAACATTTCTCTAGTTATGCCATCTACACCTACAATCTCACTCTTTTTCAACACAGGATCAATTACTTCCTTTTTCAAGAAAGTCAGCAAAGCCAGCCTTCAAGCATTTCTGAAAGGCCAGGAGGGTGGACACCCATCTCACTTCTGGGATGAGAATGTTCCACAGGGCAGGGAGTTAGTTAATCAGTTCTTCCACTGAATTTGCAGACTTAATTTTCAAAAAGATAATAGATGTTACTAGTTAGCTAAATAATTAACTCAGAGGTATTTTATGTAAAATGAGTAATGTTTTTCATGTGCTATTATGGTATGATAGTATAAATGGTATAAATCTGGTATAAATCAAGGCTGCCCAACTCTTAACTTCAATTCAGACAATTATTTTATTTCCCACAACATTTGGGTGTTTCCACAACATTTTTGACACTTCCTTTTACTGTTGCGGTGTCTCAGAAGTATTAGAAAATCTTCTAGATTTCAAAATCAATTTTTATGTGGCAGTAGATTGTGGATATTATTTGACAAATTGGATTTTGGCAACCATATCTGCATCACACCTAGAATCCCCCCTTCAACACTCCTGCAGATTCAAAGCTGTATAGCAGAAGCATTTGAAACACTTCCTCTTTATTCAAATATGAAAATGATATTAGATATAATTACAAAGTTGTTATGAAGTCTACTGAGTTTTATGATGTAGATAATACGAATAATTCACAACATTAAAAAGAAATAAACAAAAGTGGTATTTACTTTGAAAATGTATCTGGCCATGTTCTTTGTAACATAAGATATCAAATAATTTGCTCTGTATCTCTAATGAACTTAGAGTCCACTTCCTTAGAGTCTTGCGAAAAATCAAAGTGGAACAACACCTGATCACCACCTTTTACCGGTTCACAATAGAAAGCACTTAGTGCATTACTGTGTGGTATGCTGGCTTGACAGCTGTGGATATAAAGATATTACAGAGGGTGGTGAGTCCAGCACAAAACATCATGGGCTGTCCTCTGATATCACTAGATGACATCGCTAGGGCTCGCTGCCTTAGAAGAGTGAGGAAAATCCTCAGGTATGACTCTCACCCTGGTTAGGGCTTCTTTATTCTCCTGCCATCGGGAAGGAGATATAGAAGCATAGGCAGCCACACAAAAAGGCTGAAAAACAGTTTTTATCCATGGGCTGTCAGGCTTCTGAATGGAAAATAACTTTGCAACAACATAGTATGATTGACTTGTGGAGCTGGCGCAATGTATAATAAGTTCACATGGTGCAGTAGGATTGTGTGTTAGTAGGATTGACTGGGTTAGGGATTTTTCTTTTCTTTTACTATTTTTCACTGTGAGTTGTATTGGGTTGAGGGAGAGTGCACGAAGGGAGGCTCAGCCAATTTCATTGTACCCATGTTGTACTCTGACAATAAAGGTTTTGAATTGAGTTTTTGAATTTGAATGAAGGAAAAGAGAGCAACTATTAAAAAAGGAGATTTGTAGCTCAGGGTTGGCTGGCGGTAGTAGAAATACTATACGGCAGGTATATCACAGCAAGAAGGGCAGGGTCAAAAGTCTGGCACTGCCAGAGGCTTTGTGGGAAGAAGAGGTGAAACCCCCTCCTACTTTACATCAGTGTGAGTGCCTCAAGACAAGCCATCCCCTTCTCTCCTTCCCTCTGTTTCTACAAACTCTTTCAAAAGCAGCACCTCTTCTTAGTCATCTTCAGTGAATAACAAAGACCTGTTGTGTTGATATTTGCCCGCAGTCCAGACCACTTCCTCTGAATCATTTTTACCCCGTGGACTGCTCTCCAGAATAATAAATAAACTGCATGCAGCAAGTTTTGATGTCTCAGAACTTAAAACGAGAAAAGGGGGAATAGCCCTTAGTCTTTTGTTAGTCACAATCCATAACGTCCATGCCCCCAAAGCATTCAGTTACTCCTAAAATTGATGAAAAGTCATGGCTTCTATCCTTTAAATGATTACTCTTCCCTTCTGTATGATACGGAATTAATCTTTTTATCTTGCATTAATGTTATCTGCATCTATGTTTTCCCAAGTGAGAAGAGATTCTAACTGGAAACTGATAGTGCTAGCCCCTTTTTCCAAGTTTAAAATAAGCATAGCTTTTTTCAAGAATTCTATTTTCTTTCTATTATTTTCCCATTATCCTTAATACCTAAAAACTAATTACATTAATGTTCTTTAAACAAAAACTTATAAAAGATAAAGTTATATGTGCATGGATTGGAAGCGATCTTAGACGTAATCTTTTCCAGCCCTGTGCCCTTGCAGGAATCCATTTTTACTATTACATTTAATACAAATACAATTCACACATACAAAATAGGGGACTCATGGCTTGGAAGTACTGCTGTATAGTACCAGTAGGACTGGGTCATGGGCAGCTAAATATGAGCCAGCAGTGTGAGATAGGGCTGCATTCAAAAAAGCACTATGTCAAGATGTGAAATCCTCATTTCCATGTCTTCTGAACTAGGGTACTATGTACAATTATGTGCCACCACATTTCCAGAAGGATATTGACAGTTTACAATAGGTTCGGTGGAAATATAGCATAGGGAGTCACTGTCTTATGTCTAAGCATATTTACCCATGTAGTAGGGTTGCATTACTTTTACTATTATTCTCATCTTCACTACTACCTTCTCCTATTGGTATCTTATGATTATATCCGTCGGCCAAACAGTGTCGACTGGCGGCCCCCAGGGGGAGAGCCTTCTCTGTGGGGGCACCTGCCATCTGGAATGAGCTCCCCCCAGAGATACGGAGGATTTCACATCTTGACATAGTGCTTTTTTGAATGCAGCCCTATCTCACACTGCTGGCTCATATTTAGTGACGGACTTTCCGCCACGCCCTCAAAACATTTTTATTCCAGCAGGCTGGTCTGGCTTGACTCTCCCTTTTAATTTGCTTTTAAGTTTTATATAAATTGGGTGTTTTTCAATTCGTTTTTTGGGGCCAAAATTATTTAATGTACTTTAATGTATGGCTAGCTGATGAGAGCTAAATAGTTCGAAATAGATCTATACTAGTCTCCCTTTATTTCTTTATCAGCAAATATAAATTTGGTATAAAATGGTTTATTGTGAATGCGACTGCTTGAGGACTCCTGGATTGGAGTTGAAAGGCGAAAGGGAAGCAGTATGCTCCCTCCTATATTGGGGTAGACCAGGTGCTTCGATAGAAAAACACTTTATCTCTCTCTCTCTCTCTCTCTCTCTCTCTCTCTCTATCTAGCTAGCTAGCTAGCTAGCTAGCTAGCTAGCTAGCTAGCTAGCTATGAACTTAAAATATATTATCGACTTAGCTTTCGTTAGCCTCTGCTAACATAGTTAGAGTGTAAAAACTACCATTGAAGAGATATTCGCCTTTACGTAGCATTGATCAATCAAGATAGATAGATAGATAGATAGATAGATAGATAGATAGATAGATAGATAGATAGATAGATAGATAGATAGATAGATAGATAGATAGATAGAGTGGGTGGGTAGATAGGTGGGCAGGTAGGCAGGCAGGCAGACAGACAGACAAGATAGAGATAGAGATAGAGATAGAGATAGAGATAGAGATAGAGATAGAGATAGAGATAGAGATAGAGATAGAGATAGATAAAGATATATATATATATATATTATATAGAGATAGATGATAGATAGATAGATAGAGAGAGAGAGAGAGAGAGAGAGAGAGAGATGTGTGTGTGTACACACACACACACACACATACATATACACACACCATTTTCTATGGCTACTAAACCTAGGATCATAAATAATGGATATAAACTGCAGTTTCAATTAAATATAAGGAAGGATTTCCTAATGGTAAGATGTATGCAAAAAAATATTTTTTTTTCTAATACTTTGTGGGCTGGATGATCCTAAACCCTAGCTTTACCTATGAATGTTGTGGGTTCTTTATTACAGGAGGTTTTTGAGAAAAGGGTGAACAGAGACTTCTTGTGGATGGTGTAATTGGATTTCCTGCACATTGCAGATGGTTGGACTATATGGTTCTTTCAACCATTCTATATTGGTGTGTTTTATTTTATAATTAAAAAAAAACA